CGCGACTTACGAAGTCGATCAAGTTTAGGAGCTCAGCGCGTCGCTTCCAACGGAGACCAACCAGGATTTAATTAGCGACGCTGTGCCCGCTCGTCGTTTGGCTGTGATTGTGGGAAGCATAGTCTACAAACTTCTTTTTTTCTTCGCCTTGTTCTTCGCGCATCCACGTCACTGCCGAGTAGAAACAATCAGCGGCCCACACGGACGGACATGTTCACGCCACTACCGCTGCTGTTGTCGCTCTTGTCTGGTCCTGCCCCATGCATGCTGCACGCTTCGCATGAGCATGTCCTTACTTCTATGATTTCGGGTGATGCTACTTTTGTACGTCTGTGGTACGCCTGTATTTGCGCATGCGTCTAGAGACAAATCTGTAATCTGTATGTAGCCTACATCAGACCAGCAATGCATTACAAAAGATAGATGCGTGTCCAAAAAGCATGCTATCAAGATAAAGATGCGCACGCGCTGCAATAAAGACAGCGTCTGAGAATATCCACAACAGTTTGGTGCGAAGGCATGCGCATCATGAATGGAAAGCGTCCGGGCTCCGCCTACTGTATTGCAAGAACTTCACGGGAACAGACGGGCAGAGAGAACGGTGTACTTGAACTACTGCTGTACTTTCCTCTACAAATGTGGTGTTGTAGTCTAGTGTTTCTAAACGCACCAGCATCATCAGACTGCTCCAGTCCACATTGCGGCACCGATCGTGCTTTGATGAAGCGTGCCAAACAACAACGTGCAAGGAGCACAAAGGAGCAGCAGAAGATCTTTTCAACAACGAAGGCACGACGTGATCTATATAGTCTAGTCTCTCCACAGAAAAAAACCTTGCCGCCGTCCCAAGGGGGCGCTGCTGTTCTTGCTGTCGTTGTTGTTGGGTTCACGTGTTGACTGCAAGCGTGCAAGTTTACCAAAAGAACTGATACAGGACGGCCGCTTTTATTGTGGTGTGTGGTTGTAGTAAAGAAATATATGTGAACGCACATCCCCGCAGTTTTGATTCTTTTCCGCTCATTTTTCGTCTTCTTACTCACCACCCTGCTTCGAGATTCACTCTCCTCCTGTACTCCACTCCTGGAGACCTCGCTTCCCCCAACTGCTCCACCAGTGTGACTAAACGTAGGGACTGCTGCTGTAGTTGTCCTGCTTGCTCTCGCCGCCAGCAGTCCTGCCCCGGCCACAACAAGCACCATCAAAACCCTCATCCGGCGAATCTGGCGCTTTACTGCTGGGTGGCCGCCACCATCAGCCGCCATAACAGATGATTGGATCGCCAGCGGCGGCACGCCAGTTGATGCACCACCACCGCCGCCGGACAACGCTCCATAACATGCCTTCTTCGCAGAAGGGCTTGATCCCGGGTCTGAGTCGGTGCCGCAGAAGGAAGCAACCATGTCAGCTGATCAACCGCGAGGTGCTGCAGGTAGAAGTACTGTGCACACCTGCGGAAGTTGGGAAGGCATATGAGATGTAGACTAGTCTTCCGTCATAGACGCCATCCGCAGTCAATTCTGCAGTCATGTATTTTCGGCGGGGGGGGGGATGGTGATGAAACATCCCCGACGAAGGTCAGAACTTTAACTTAGCCTATGTTGTTGTTGTTGTTGTTGTTGTTTTCTTCACATTAAAAACCGTTCCGATCTCTCTCTCCACCCAGTACCTTCGTATGTCCGTAACGATCCGACAACGACCCCTACTGTTCGCGGGAGCATTGGCAAGGCAGCCGGACGGGCGATTCCCGAAACGACTGATGTTCGGCGAACTGGCAGGGGGGGGGAGCGACCTTGGGGGGGACAGGAACAGAACTGGCCGAAGTGTGTGCTCGACGACCTGAAGGCATTCGGGGCCGACCACGGATCTACGAAATCCGATCCATGTTGTCTCGGAATCCCGGTACCGAAAGACACGGCACCGAAGTTAAAGTGGAAGGAAGCCAAGAAGGTAGAGGGGGAAGTACCCTGGCATGCGGCGGTGCTGCAGGGAGCTGAGAAGTTCATGACCTCCTGGCACGAGAAGGGAGAAGCGGCCAGCCGACAACGGGCGCTCAAACGAAACCACAAGCCACCAACCAATGGGGCGGGAGGGGGGCAGGAGACGGACGAGACGGCGAGGGAAGAAAGCAAACGAGGGGAGACGGACCGAGTGGCGCGATACGTGCCGGATTGAAATTCGTTTAGCCAATTCCCCCCCCCCCAAACGCTGCACCATTCATTGCACCAACCCCCCACTAGTGATGACGTACCATTACAATGTATCGCTGGTTGGTGGCCATGTTTGCGTGTTTGCTTGTCGTTAGTGTTCTCTCCACCGTGTGCCTTTTTCTCTCTCTTCTTGTAATTTTTGGCGTGGTCCCTTTTTTTCGTCCTCGCTCTGCTTATTTTATTACTGTTTTCATTTCTATTTATTTTCTCCTCTTTTTTTCTTCTCTTTTCTCTCTTTTTCTGTGCCAGATGGCCTTGTTTCTGCTTGCATTGTGAAGTACAAATTGAATCAAGGGGGGATACCTCATTCTCTCCGGCCCGTGATGGTGAACCCTAGTCTCAGTTGTTACCTCGAATAGCGCGCAGAGGGAGTGGAGGACTCCAGAATATCTGGCGTTGATTGCTATTGACTTCCGGACCCCTCGCGGCCATTTTATTTGAGTGTACCTTTGAAGGGTAAGTTAGCCTGCGACCACGGGAATCGACCGCGTCGAGTGTTGTATCAGTTGTTGTTGTTGTTGTTGTTGTTGACTTCACATTAAACCGTATGCCAGTTGCTAAATGCCAAAATCTAGCAAAGACTCTCGGCCCGTGGTCACG